TTGCTTGTCCTTGAAGGCCAACTTAATTTACTTATTAGATTTATATTTCATGTTATTGATATAGTTGAGTTGTGAGTGTTATCATCATCTACTTATTTTCGACTCACCAATATATATTAATGTAATATTAAACTCTTAAATTGGTCCACATTTTATATTTGATCAAAATATATCATAGGTCCCTATATTATTTAATTTTTAAGAATTTAATTCTTTTAGTATTATTTAAAAAATTTTGTTTTTATAATATTATATTTTAATTTATTACTTATTTGTATCAAAGGGTTATTTCATATGACAAAGGATGTATTGTTATATATATTTAATTGAAAACTTATGAGTATCTTATTTAATTGAAATTTCATATACTTTTGGGGTCTAACTCTGACCCATATATAATTTTAATTGTGTCATTAAGTCCTAGTTTAGTGTTGTTTTTGTTGTTGAAAAAACTTGGATTCAAAAAATGGTGGTGAAAAAATATTTTATAAAATTATAAGTATTTGATATTACATTGAAAATTTTCACTCTTAATGTATAATAACAAATTCAATAATTAATTAAATGATAACTGTTAATCAATCATTAGTATAAAAATAAACGAAAAACACAAGAGGGGGATCACATAAGATGTATAAATAGTTTCTTTAATTCTATTTAAAGTATATTAAAAAAATAAAATAACAAAAAATTATCGAATTTTATTATTTTATTTAAATAAACTTTTATCATTTTATTTAAATATATTTTTATATTTTTTTTACTTAAAAGATCTTTAATTTTTAATTTACACACAAATATACTCTTAACTTTTATTTCATATTCAAATAAATTTTTATTATTTAATTAGTATCTAAATAAATCTTTAATATAAATTAATTTTTTATTTAAAATAAGGGATTATTTAAATACAAATTAAGGATAATAACTTATTTAGATAAAATAAAAATATAATTTTTTTAAAAATAAAATAATTAAAAAAATTAAAAATTAATTAAATACTATAATAATTTTTAACTTGGTTTTGTGAAGTTAACAAATTTTATTACCAATTTATAAAAACGAACTTCCTTAATAATTAATCAGGTGACACTGTTAAGGTTGGGTTCGGCCTCAGTCTCCCCTTCCTCATTGTAGTAGGCTCTGCCCCTTGAAACCAAAAAAAAAACCACGTGACACTGTTGATTAATCAGTAATATAAAAATAAATGGGAGACAAGGGACAGGGAGCCCTGAGGGGGTATCATCAGATTTTTTATCGGCCAAAGAGAAGATCATGTGGACCCACCTTGGCATCAATATTGCAGTCTAGGGAAGATCATGTGGCCCACACAATTATCACCACCGCCACCAGCACCACCATCATCAATAATGCTACATATACGTTACATATTATTTCTTCCAAGTTTCCAATTTATCATGAGATGAAACAAAAGAGAAATTAAAGATATATAGACAACCTTTGTAATTACATTTGAGTACAATCATGACAGCCTTTACCAGAACCGCATGTGGTAAAATGACTACAGAGACTTTAAGATAATCTGCTTGCTTTGAGTTGTTTTGAGTTATGAAAATGACATTGTAGCTGGCTTTGGGTTGGACTTGGACACGTTAAGTTTGATGTTGAATCTAACATTAGTCTTTTGTTTGATGCGTTGAAATTATCGAATTCTCTTCTTCTCAAAATAATTGTTACGTATTGATTTATATGAAATTAAAAAAAATAATTTTGATATATTTAATATTAAATTTTAATTTTTTATAAAATTAAAATTTTATGATTTTCAATGTTAAAAAATAAAAAAATCACAAAAATAATTTAAAAATATAAACAAGGAAAATTTATATATTTAAAAAAATAGATATAATTTTAGAGCATAAAATAATAGATAAAAAAATGGGATAAAGAGAATACTATTAATTACTTCAACATGATTTTTTTTAATATATAATTTTTAATCATACATACTAAACATAAAAGTATCATTGATTGAGTCTCCAAACCTTTAACCTAATGATTAAAAAGTTTGAAGGGATATTAAATATGTAGTTTTGAATTAAAATTTTTTTTATTTGTATTAAAATTTTATCTTTTTAATATAACAAAAAAATATTATTGATTAAATTAGGTCGGTTAGTTTTTGAAAAACTTTATCCAATATTTGATTTAATTTTAAAGTTCAAAAAATTTAACATTTTTAAAAAATGTATTAAAATATTAATATTTTAAATATATTTTAAATTAAAATTAATTAATTTATTAAAAAATATTTTAGATCACTCGAATTTAAAAAATTTTATCTCAAACTTGGCCCTTGGACAATGGACAGCTATAGACGAACCCAATTCAATGTGAATAAAATTTCATGCAATACTTTATTTTTCCCTTGATGAAGTTGCTTGAAAAAATGCTTGAGTAAGAATTAAAGTATTGTGAAACTCTATCTACCATGAGAGAACCTGATGTCATTTGCATAAGTATGTTAGTCACGAATATAGCCAGAAGGATTTGGAACGGGAAAGAAGGACAATTCCTACCCCAATGCTTCAGTGGAAAGCTAGCATGGTGCTGCTCGAACCATAGACTTTACTAGCTAGCCTTGCATTCTAAGTTGTTGATTATACGGCTTAAAGTGGAGGACCAAAAAGTTAATGATTAAGGGTGTATTTGATGGATCATATAATTAATTTTGATAAAATTAAAATTGATAGTGAAAATAAAATTAATTATTATAGTGATAAAATTAAAATTTATTATAAGATATAGCTACCCATCAAATTAATTTTCATAGTGATTTTAATTATTAATAGGGCTTAGGCGTTATCCATCTTAATTTCTGTTTAAAACTTGAATAGATCCATGGAATTTAATTGAAAGGATGGTAATCGCAAAACCAAAAATAATCAAGGCTTGATCATTTATTTTCTCTTTTGTTTGTGGAAGTATAAGTCAAATATGAACTTAAGTTTTTTATTAATCAGAGATATTATATAACCATTTTTTTTTTTTTTTGAAACTCTGTTGGATTGATATCGATATCTTAAATTCACATGATTTCTCGATTATGGAATCTGAGTCAAGCCCTGAAATCTATTTACATCCAATTGCGATTACTTTTATAAAGATTAAAATTTTTTAAAGATTCTTAATTTAGGGGTTGAAGAGATTTGTCTTTGCAACAAAAAAAATCCCAATTGGTAATTTTTTTTTAATATAAAAGATCGTGGTATGAGATAAAAAATATTATTTAAATTTAAAATTTATTAGATATTATTTTTAATATAATTATGTAAATTAATTAAATTAAATTAAAAAAAATTTTCATTATCATCATTTTTTTTGTTTGAGACTTTTCATTATTTAATAGTCATTTTGAATATCGATTAATTTAAAATCATATCAAATTTTATAAGAAAAATAAATTCTCTCAAATTTATTTTATTTATTTATAAGATTTAAAATCAAAATTTTATTTAAAAAAAATTAAACTTCTTATTACTCATGTCTATTGATCAATATCATTAATTATCTTCCACTTTCTTCACCTTAAATCTCGAAATATCACTTCGGGATAAAAAGGAGGAATTAGACAAAATCATGAGTTGGAGTTGGTCAAACCAAACACCAAAAGTTATGCTGAAACAGGCAAAAGTGGTGAAAAGCTTTGGATTCTCCCTTATGGCAAGGTGGGGGTAGGGGAATTTGACGTTTTCCTCTGCCTGCAATTCATGTTCAATAATTAACTAATGAAACAAGACAGGAAAGAGCTTGCAACTCAAGCCCCCAATTAAATAATTTTTGTAAATAAATCGAAAACAGTATCAAAAATGGTCGGCCACTTGAAATTGGGGAACATGCCCGTGTGCAGCCACGACCATGTCATCACTAGGAATTTCAATATTTATTTTTTACATGATTTTTTAGGCTCCAGCTTCACTGCTTGATTAAGGTTTAATTAGGGGCTGGCCTGAAGGTTGACATTTCTAGATTATTAGTGGGATAAGTTATTTTAAATTACTTCTAAATTATTATTTATGCTTATAAAATATAAAAATTAATTTACGGTTAAGGTCAATACTTTATAATCGTTTACATGATTGAATCGAATGTGAGTTTATATATAAATTAACTTAGCTGACACTCTTAATTAATTAAAAATAATTAATTTAACTAAATTAGATTAAAATTCGAATTCAAACCCTTAACTTTAAAATCGATTTCAACGTTACTAAACTAACAGCTCATTAATAAAAAAAAAAACTCAATTAAAGATAGGAAAAGTTAGACAGCCTTGCATAATGTCGGTTGATGGCCCATTAATTAGAAAAATAATGATCATATTTCTCTGAAAAAACAAATGCTCCTCTCCAATCCCCCAACTATAGTGTACAAAACCAGTACAAACATATTTTAAATGGTGCATTAATCAACTTTGAATTCAAGCTTTATGAATTTCAAAATTTTTTATATCTTTAAAAAATCTCATCACAATTCTACTTTATTAGCTAGTAAATGAATATTTCATAAAAAGAAAGCTGAGTTAGTTACTTTCTAATTAGGCATCTAATCCAAATTGTGCAATAGAACCTTGTGTTTAATTAAGAGACTCGTGCATTGAGCATTTCTTATTTAGTAAACCTAAGATTTAAATTTATAATTTAATTTAAATTATTTATACAATCATATATTTAAAATTTAAATCCGGACGTTTACAAATCTTTTTTTTTATTATTATTTTCGATTGGGATTTCCTTTGTTAAAAGAATCTTACAACTTACAAAAATAAAAATGAGAATCTATAATTAATTTCACTCTACTACTCCAAAACACCCATCAAGAGTAAGGAAATTAATTACATATGTTTAACAAAAGGGTTAATGATTTCTTATACATAAAACAAATTCTAATACAATTTCTGAGGATTTTTCAGTTCTTTGTTAAAGAAAATGGAAGGCAAGGTGAAAAAGAAAGAAAAGTGAAGATGGGGATCATAAACAATGAAATGGCATTCACATGAGTTACTTTCGGTTAAAGGCTGGTACTGAAGTGACTTCAAACTGACATTATTATTAATTAAAACTATACACTAAATATTAAAAATTATGCAAGCAATTTCTCGTCGAGAAATTAAATTACTGTTAATATGAAATTATCAGATCATTATCATCATCATCATCATCAGGGAGATATCAATGCTGCATGAATTGGCGTTTCACCTACTACTCCTAAAGCTTTATTCTTCCATGCCCCCACTCTTACAGCATCATCTCCCCTTTTACATTCTTCCTTTCCTTTTCCTTTCTTCTTGCATCATTCACTCCAACAACTCTCTTTCCCTCTCTCAGCAACGTAATTGGCTGCTTGAGGCCTGAAACTAGAACCAGAAGCTAGCTCAACCTGAAAAACTTTTTATCAAGCTCTCTCTCTCTCTCTGTCTATCAATGGCGAAAACCAATATTGAGTCATACTTCAACAGGTTCCTTTCTCTTTTCATCCTTCTTCTCCACCTTGGTTGCTTCGTTTTCACAGCTAAAGACCTCCAAAAACCAACCAAGAAAAGGAAATCGTCGCCTCTTTCTCCTTCTCACAAACCCCACAAATTGGCTGTTTCCTCAACTTGGTCTTATCTCAAACGCATCTTGTCTTCTTCTAAAGCCAACTGCAAAAACACCATCCAAACACACCCTGCAACAGCAACGACACCCGCGTTAACCTCTGCGAGAAACTCCCTACAATCCCTTGTCTCCATGATTATCCCACCTCAAACTCATTTGTTAGACAGCCCTCCTCCACGTCATAAAAAACAATCCGGGTCTTGTCCAGAATCGGACATCTCATCCGACAATCAATTCTTCCCACTACGTAATGATATCTTCCCATGCACAGTTTGCGGTGAGATTTTCCAAAAACCCCATTTTCTTGAACAACACCAAGCAACCAAACACGCCGTATCCGAACTCATTGATGGTGATTCAGGAAATAACGTAGTTCGGATCATATTCAAAACAGGCTGGACCGACAAAGTTAAGAACCATGAAATACATCGTATTTTAAAAATCCACAACAGCCCAAAGATTCTTGCAAGGTTCGAAGAATACAGAGAGCTTGTAAAAGCAAAAGCCGGAAGAAACGGTGCCATCGGGAGAAGAGACGAGAGGTGCATAGCTGATGGGAACGAGTTGTTAAGATTTTACTGTTCAACTTTTATGTGTGATTTGGGACTTAATGGGAGTTCCGGCATTTGTAATCAACAGTTTTGTAGCATTTGTGGGATAATTAAGTCAGGTTTTTCACCGAAGATGGATGGAATCTCCACGCTATCTACGAGCTGGAGAGCACACGTGGCGATCCCTGAGGATTTAGAGGAAGAGTTCAAGTTCCTGAACGTGAAACGGGCCATGCTTGTCTGCCGGGTCGTGGCCGGTCGGATCGGATCGGAAGGGGAAGAAATAGACAAGGAAGATGGTGGATTTGATTCGGTGATAGGGAGGGGAGGAGGGAGTGGAGCACATACCAAGTTAGATGAAGAAGAGCTGTTGGTTTTCAATCCAAGGGCAGTGCTCCCTTGCTTTGTGATTGTATACACTGTTTGAGTGTGAGATCTTTTTCTGCACTTTCTTTCCTACCCTTGACTTTTTTTTAACTTTTTAATCTTATTTCACTTGGGATAGTGAAAATTTTTTGAGATGCTGTGACGTGCTGCTGCTGATTATGGTTTATGGTGTTTTTTACAGGTTTTTACCTCTCTGCCAGTGACCAAAAACAATTGGTTACAGCTAAAATTAGCTATATCATCTGGAGATTGCTGTAATGGTAGCATAGATTAATGTCTGCTGTCTTTAATTAGGATAACTTGTGTATTTAGGGAGTGTGATGTAAATCTACTGTTTGGATCAGATTAGTACGTTTTATTTTCTCCCATTTTCTGTATTTTTCTTTTTTTTACGAGTTTAATAGAATTTGAAAGAACGAATTTAAATTCGCCGATTCAAGGCTGCTCTATTTGATAACTTGCTATCTAAATAAACATAAACGTCGTAAACCTACTTCATTCCACAAAAGTTTAAAATTGGATTTCATTATATTTTTAGTACGATACGATTGAATTCATCATATAATTAATTAAATTTAAATATTAATTTTAATGAAATTTATTTAATATAAATTTTTTTAATAATAATTAAATTAATTTTTTTCAATCATAATTATAATAATTTTTATTATTATTCTTAATTTCATCATAATCGAGCTCATCATCAATCTAAGCCATAAACTCCCATAAATTGCTATACTTTTATCACCAACTTAAAAAGAAAGCAGTGTAATTCTATTTTCTTCCAGTCATTTTAGACACCATAAAATCTTATGATAAAATTTTTATTTTTTTATTCGATATCCATTTATTTCAGACAACCAAACAACAATGTGGGTGCTAGTCGAAAGACAAGACCATATGCCATTGCTGAAACAGCTGTGGTGATAACAAAATATCAGTATTCTTGCAGAAGTCAGTAAGGAAGTGGCCCGGTACCTGGGATACCCGACATTCTGCATTCTTTTTCATGGTCCTACGCTTACGGCAATGGTAACATTAATCAGTTCAGTTATTGGACCCCATCGAAAGATGAAAAAAAAGATGCCTCTCAGTTAGATTACGAGGTCGTTTTTTACAACTTTTAAAAAGAATAGCTTTTGCCTGTTCTGATTATTCCTACCTTTCAGCGTAAGGTTCAACCAATCAAGTCAGAGTAATTCGGGCTCCCATAACAAGTTGAAGTCAAGTTCAAAGTATTTTTATTGAATTTTTTAAATTATATTTAATATTATATAAGTAAATAATAAAAATATTTAAAATTTATTTATAATTTTAATGAACTTGATTATTATGTTCATTTACTCAATCAACATGATCAACTATTTGAGATATTAAACAATACATATCTAATTATCACGTATCTCTATTTAAAAAATTAATTTATCTTCTGTTGAAAAAATAATTTATTTAACATTTCACTAACATCCCATCAATATATCACTTTAAAACAAAATATTTGATTTTTAACTTATTTTAAATCATTAAATATCATCAATGCTTATATGATATTATTCATCTACATAAACTCTTCTCAAATTTCACATAAATTTTTCATCAATTTTCAATTTTCTTATGCAGATCAATACCCATTATCTCGTATATCAAGCTGATACTTCACACTTAAAACGGTTTTCATCTAATATAGCTTTCGACACATACCTCATTACCTTTTTCACTTTTACCTCCTATATTCAACTGACTTCAACGTTGGAGTGCGTCCCTTGGAATCAACTTCGATGCCCTTAACCATAGTTTTTTATTGCAAGTTTCGACCATCTCTATCTTCGATCTCTCACCAACTCTCTCCAGCTAAAATACAAAAAATAATCAAACTTATCAATTCAAATTGTTTGAATAAATAAATAACTAAATTAAATTATAAAAATTAAAACGCCATGTAATTCAAATCGAAAACAGCTATCATGGATTCACTGGCAATGGATCCGTTCAACTAAACTTCATTACACTTCTATTTTAGCTCCCGCTGGGAGCCCCTACATGGGTTTATTTTGGGCCTTTCCGACCTCAATGCTCCCATGACTAACTGAGTTTTGGGCCTTTTGGGCATGATCAAGCAAGCATTCAAGCTCAACTAAGCTGCTCTTGGGCTTGAAATTGGATAATCCGGGAACCCGACCCACCTCCATTTCCGTGCCAAAGAGCATGGCATATATTCCGCGCAAAACAGCTCTAAGGATTCAAAAAAACCCTGTCAGCGACAGCCGTGTTTCAATTAAAATAAAGCCATTATCCAAGAAGAAGAAATAAAACTCAGTTGTTCGTTCAGTTTTAATGGCAAAATTCAGACAACATTTGACTTTGGAAAGCGTCGGGACTTGTTCCATGATCCAGTATTCATATTCTTACATTCCTGGAATCTCGCTTTCTGTTTGCTTCTCTCACTCTTCACTCCACAAGGCGGTTAAACTGCCACAACTTCAAAAACTTTTCTTTCTCTTTACTTCTGGATATCTCTTTTATATTTTCCCTTTGCGTGCCATCTAAAAAACATTGATTTTCAGTTTTCAGGTCTTTTCCATGATCTTCCGCCTCTGGGTTGCTTTCTCTTTCATTTCCAAGGCGTTTGATTGGTCTCTGATCATTTCATTTTCTTCCTATGATTCTCTTTCTATTCAGGGGTTGGCTCTCTACTTTGTTGCTAAGTGGAAGGATATTGATTGAAGCTTGAAGGACACCAATCAAATCGGTAACTTCTTCTTGTTTCTGGGTTGTGTTTAAAATTTTAATTTTTGTATTTGTTTGCCAGCCATTTCGTAAAATCTTGGCATTACCATAAGATTCAAACCAAAAATGCAAACTTTTCTTCCTTTTCTGACATGGGTTTTTGTTGAATGGACTAATTGCAAATGTTTTAGCTTTAATTTGCTCTGTTTTGCTTTTCTCTGTTTGAACTCTGGAGTGCCAAAATTATAAGCAGGACAACTACTTGTTTCTCAAATCTCAGCTTGTATATCTGAATTTTGATAGTGATAATAATATTATTTGCTTCAAAGCTTCTGCTTTTGGCACTATTGCTTCACTGAAGTAGCACCAATTTACTAATTTTGGGGGGATCAGCTTACATTTTATTCTACTACATATAGCCTTTTTTCATGGTTTAGAATTCTTTCACTTCATTGGCAAATTGTCATGTGAACTTTTGGAAATAGCGATTTGGAGCTGAAACGGTTGGCTGATTATTCCAAATCTTATGTTTCTTTTCATTTTTTTTTTCCTCACATGCAGGTCGGTGATATGTCAAATATCAAGTTAGATCAGGTTGTTTGCCATGATTCTAAGGAATCTGAATTAGCTCTTGGAATGGGAAAGTGACATTGGATGAAAAGGTTAGTAGAGTACACGAGATCCTAAATAGTATACATAAGCAAGGGCAGAGATCAATTAGCAGCAGCACGGCAAATGCTCAGCCTGGAATATTCACTGATAGGTACAATTACCAAAAAAATTCAACTTCTGCTGGTTTAATTTTATTTCAACTCTAAACTGCTGTTTCGTTTGAGTTCTCTTGTGTTAAGTGTACTTCATCCTACATGCACACTTGTTTTGCTAATTGGATTTTGACATCAATTCAAATTTTATTACAATGCATGTTTTGAAAACATTTTCCCTTTGCTCATTTTACTTTACATTTCCAAGTTTGAAAGACCAAAAATTGGCTTGTTCAAATGAATTGCACAACAAATACCACAGTTGACACACTCCTTGTCTGATTGTTTTTAAATATTTTAAACTTTAGTAAACTCTGTTTGACAAAAAATTCTGTTCTGGAGATCGATTGTTGGTTTTCCCATATTTCTCCTAAAGTATGAACACTACTAAACTACTAATTCATCGATTTGCATTCATGGCGTTTACACTCATATAATCATGCAGAAGTGATCAGAGTTACCATGGAACCACTTATTTACTATTTAGTCTATTCATGATGTTGATTTTTGAGATCTGTAATTTCTATCCTTGACCGCGGAACCATGGATTCTTTTTTTTTGGCAGTCCTCGTTATATATTTATGATTACCAACTAAAAAACAACATTTGCAATTTGTGACAGCTTACTCTACGGAGTGTCATGGACAAAGCTAAACGGACAACAAAATCAGGAAATCTTAATGAAGTGTCCATGGTTTTGCTTAATAATTTGTTGTCTCTACCCTTCGCCATCTTCTTGATTTTCATTTTGAATGAATGGGAATATGTAATAAATGTGTAAGTGAACATCTCCAAAAGTTTAACTATGTCACAGTCATGCAAGTTTTTCTCATACATGTAGCATCATCTATATTTTGATGTTCACAGTTTTGATTTGCAGTGGTGTGATTAAATTGCCAATGTTTTGGGTTGTTGCAACAGCTAGTGGATTTCTTGGACTTGCCATTAGCTTCACCTCCATGTGGTTTTTGCATCAAACTGGACCAACCACTTACAGGTGTTTGATTTTGTGTATGATTAACCTCAAAAATGTCGGACAAATCCTCGTTAAAAAATTTATGCTTCTTAGGTTTTATTTCAAAGAGACTATCTCTTGGATTTCAAGGAAAGGTAACAAGAGGTCAAAATGAAGTTAAAATGTAAGGTTCTACTTATGTTCTTTATCTTAAGTCTATTTTTTGTGAACATCTTTCCACGTTGTTAATAAAGCAAGTAACTGCTATCATGTGTTAATCCATAGGAACAAGTTCATCTAGTTCATTCGGCAAGAGGAACGTACAATGTTGTTGATTAAAATCCATTAATTACGCCAGCAATGATTTCTCTTCAAGTAATGCTTGAGAGGAAGTACATTATATATTTTTTTAACTACCTGTGAATATAGATGTTGTAATTAGCCTCCAATTCCTCCATTTGCATGCTGCTCTCATCTTCATTTTTGTCCAGTGTATCCCTTGTTTGTGCCTGAATGTGATAATCACATCACCACTGACATTGTATCCTTTGTTTTACAGCCTCGTACGTTCCTTGAACAAGATTCCCATCTCTATTGCCGGTATCGTGTAGTTCAAAGTTCCACTCAGTGTACCAAACATGTTCAGCATACTTTTTGGTAATGAAATTAACAAACTGCGCATACCATGGAAGCTTACGAAACGTACAGATTTTCATCCTAAGTTAGTTTCTGTATGCTTCTTCCAAGTTTATTCGCCGGAATATTCTTTGCCAGAGCCAAAATGTCATGATCCCAGACCGGGCCATGTGTGAATATTGAGATCAAGGAAACATATACGCGTCAAATGATCAGATTGCTTCTCCTTGTGGAAGGATCATCCATATCCTGTTTGAACTTCCAAGTGCATTTCTCACACTGGGAAAAAGCAGAAGCCTTCCGGGGCAGAAAAACTTTTCAAAGTCCTATAAATAAAGTAAGGTATCGGTTTTTTTTTTTTTTTAATTACTTACAGGAAGTTAGAAATTAAGGCATGTATTCTTTTTTTTTTTTGAGGAAACAGCTGAGAGAAAATATGTAGGAAGCATGTGATTTCCTTGATATAGCTGGAATAAAAAATTTTATACAATTCTTCTCTAATTTTTTTTTCTAATTTCAGATTTTACATTGATGTTTTTTCATCTACCCATTTTTGTAATTTCAATTTTTTTTCTTCAGTTTCCAATCGTTCTTATTTTATTTTAGCCAACTTTTGTTCTGATTAGTAACTTTCTCATATACCCTATTTAATTTGACAAATAATTTTTTTTTTTGGTTCTTTCATCTAGTATTTGTTTGTTAACTACTCATGCATTACCAATTAAACATTAGCTCAAATGGCATGACATATGTTGTTTATCTTGAAAGTTACGAATTTTCGATAATTTTGATAATTTATGTGCGTAATATCTTCAAATAATTTAAGTAAATAAAAATTTAAATGAAAAACAATGCATGCATCGAAATTAATTTTTTTTTTGGTAATCATTTTCCTATTTCTTCCAGTCTGAGTGTAATTTGCCCTCAGGGAAATTATGTAAAACTTTTTTTATAAACTGAACAATGAAGATATATATGTTTTCAAAAAAATTATGTAAAACTTTTTTTTTTTTTTCAAAAGAAAAGATATATATCATTTAGTAAAAATATTAATAGAATTTTTATCATTGAATAAGTATTGATTATATCTGAATTATAAATAATATTTTTAATATTTTTTACATATTTTTTATTTTAACATTAAATTTTATCAATCTATTAATTTAAATTCTTATTTATTTATTTTTAATAAAAAATTTTATGAATTTCTTTTATAAAACTTCATATAAATTTTGTTGATTTGAATGCAATGAAATGCTATTGCATGTGTCAGTTGATTAGCTCCATCGCAGCCACCCCACCTACTAATTTGCTTAACTATTTATCCATGAAACAATTGTTGCTAAGAAAAAAGGGAGGAAAGGAATTCGTAAATTAAATCAATTGATTCATATACTCATTAATTTATTAAATTATGGTTTTTAATAAATCTTAAATTTAAATTTAAGTGCATGTAACTTTTTTTTATTTTTAAATTGTGATTTTTTTATTGTAAAAAAATAAAACGAGATAATAATGAAAATAAAATTATATCTACATGAATTGAAATGAAACGAAATGATTTATCCTATATAGACTATCTAAGTTCAACCATGAATGTTTTGTGTACGAAATGAAATAAAAATTCATCATTTTTTTAAAAAAAAAATCTCATAAGTTTCATCTAGTCATGTTGATGATAGAATGGGGAAAGAGTGGATTTTCAAAATAATTTATTTTTTTTTCGTCAAAAAATAGTAAAAGAGTAGAATTATTCATCATGGACGAAAATGAATACATAGAGTTGTCACTGATCTCAAAATCAAAATTTCTTAGCTTTTTGGGATATAAACTATCATGATCAAATAATTTGAGAATTGACTTAAAAAATGAGGATTTCGAAATTTCAATAGTAACTCAAAAAAACGTGGGTAACATATAACAACAATGAATAGATAGAAAAAAAAATCCCCAAAAAATAATAATAATAATAAAGATAGAAATCCTATTGGCAATGGACTCAACAAGAATGTCAAATTAAGAATCAACCAAAAGCTTCGTCAACATAGAACCCGTCAAAGAATCACAAGTTGTTGAGAAAAGTATGCAAAAAAGAGGAAACAGAAACAATTGAACCCGCATGAAAATGACTGCACTCCACCAAACGAAACTGAAAACACTTAACAAGCACCATTTTTGGTTCGCAAATCATGACTAATATTAATTCATTCCCCCAAAGCTTGATTGGAAAAAACCAGCCCCATTAAGGATTTCAAAATTCCAAATTCCCTGATAGAACCTTTTAGAACTAGGATTGTTCTTAACTATAAGATAACCTAAAATGAAATATACTGAAAAGAGCAAATTAAGTATATATGTTGCTACGGGCAGAATTGAGAGGAAGAAACCATCTCAATCAAGTCCATCTCTTTTCTTCCGTCTGAAGAAGCTTGCTCCGGCAAGAGGTTGGTCTTGGTCATGGTCATGTTCATGTTGGTACTGTAGCCGTAGCCAGTGGGAAATGAAGAAGTGGTTGCTCCATTCAACAGGCAAGACAGGTAGAGGTCAGAAAACATATAGGTGGTTGGAGGCTTTTTTTCTTCAAGGCTATTTGTAAAGAAGTTTGGGTCTATAATGGAAGAGGAGAACCAACAACGGTCAGCTGGATTAGACCACTGCTGAACAGCATTTACCTGATAGTTAAATCCGGGGCAGTCAATGGTTGAAGAACCTTTGCTTAGGTTATGATCAACAAGGATTGACTTCACCTCAGTTGGACTTCTGTTTTGGGAATAATCAACAGATGGTTGAATATTATTATTGTTATTTGCAAAGAAGTTTTGTATGAACAGCATTTCTTCATCATATGTTTGAGGCTCAACAATCAAAGGCTGAGAATAATCGGATTCGGATGGTTCAGGAAGAAAATATTTGAATTGACAGGACAAGTCTTCAGAGAATGTTGAGCTAGAAGGGGTGGTGGGAGTGGTGGAGCTATCGGCTGCGGTGATGGTGGTGGTTTTGGTGCGGTTGTTGCTATTCAGATTTTGGCTTCTAATATAGTCTTGAAGAACAGATGATTGAGGTTTGGCATTTGGGTTATCATTTTGTTTATTCTTCTTCCTTGAGTTTTGCCTCCTTTTTGTAGCATTCCAGTGATTTTTTATGGCATTTTCAGTTCTTCCAGGGATGAACTTTGCAATCTCCGCCCACCGGTTCCCAACCTTGGCATGAGCTTCAACTAATATTCTCTCTTCTTCTTCACTCCAGCTCTCTTTCTGAAACAAAGACACCATGAAACAAGAATGGGCAATTGCATTTCCAAAGGAAAGATATATACTAACAGAGAAAAATACAAGGCATAAAAAAAAATTTATGGAAAGACTGAAGGCAAGCCCCTTTTTTGACGAAATTAGTGCTTCTTTCAGGAAAAAAAAAAAAGTTTCCAAAATCACATGAAAATTAACTCTGTAACTAAAGGAGGAAGAAATGAGAGAGATGATGCAAAACGGCTTCTGACATCCACCATATGATTTGCATGTCAAGCTTTCTGTAAATAACAACAGCCTTCTATAAACCTTTCAAAACTGAAGACTTAAGAACAGATTAAAAGAGATTGAAAAAGAAAAAGGAATTTTCTTACCTTTAAAAATGCACGAAAGAAAACCCTAAATATGACATGTCCTAAATCTGTGTCTTTAGCATATATTTCGGGGTTCAGAATCTGGATAGATTTTCAGACAAAATCAGTTAAGGCAACGTCTAGGATGATGTTGCTTGCCTCAGAAATCTATTTAAAAAATCCAAGTTGTTAGATTCCGATGTGTTTGTCAAAATGAAATCTATGAGTCCACATATAATCGCCTGAAATCTTGATGTATTTTGAAGAATCAAGCCAACAAATCCAGGTGAAGTAATCAAGAAACCCAGTTTGATTATTCAAACTGCAAGAAAAAAAAAATACTATAACAATTAGAAAAGATTAAGAAAGAGAAACCTTGATATCAGGGCGCAAATGGTTATGCCATCTCTCTCGACACTGTTTTCCGGCTCTACCAACCAAACCCTCAGCTATCTGTGCCCATTTCCTTACTCCATATTGCTTCACCAATCTTATCAGTTTTCTATATAAAAATTAAATATATATCAACCAAAACAAAAATCCTAGAAAAAGGGGAAAACAGGAAAATGAATGACGGAAATAAACTGTGTTATTTCACCTGTCTTCATCATCTGTCCACTGACCCTTGATCAAAGCTGCGGAAGCAGCTTTTTTGTTTCTCTTCCCTAACCCTTTAGGGAAACTCTTCATTGAAACTTTCACTTGTTTCATTTCCATGTTAGGGTTTTTATCATCTGTCAAAGCAAGGCTCTCGCCATCCACAAAAAGCCCATCGACGAAGCTTTCCTCAGGGTTACTTTGACATGAAACCCCAGCTACATAGCGACCAATTGCATCACTAGAGAAGGAGAAACCGCGCAGCAAGCGATGATCAGGAGTTGAACCTGAACCAGCTGTCCCTTTGCTGATCTTCGCGTTGTTTTGAAAAGAATACTGCTGGTTAGAAGAGTAGTGGTTTTGACCCCATAAAAACCTGTCTATAGCAGATAATGGAGGACTAGGTTTATAAAAAGAAGACTTATTATTGCAGAGTAAATTCCCATAACCAAAAGCTCCTCCTCTACTTCCTGCTCCTTCCATGAAATAAGACCTAGCTAATCAAGATTTATAAAGGAAGAGTTTTGTCTTCTAATTTCAAGTTGTAAGAACAACCCATGACAGAAGCTTAAGACAGAAGAGAATTTAGCTTATAGCAGGGCTTGGAAAAAGCCACATGGCGAAATAACTATTGATGAGCTGGTCATCAATCCACCGATTGAGAAATGCTGCTGGCTGTAACTCCTGAGCTTCCTCTCTCTCAGACAAATTTGTTAAAAGGAGAAAGATGGAGAGATTAGTGGGTTCGTTACTAAACCGACAATTAATTGCATAATTAATCAATTAATATTTTTCTTAAAATCTTGCAAAAATATATATATTGTTAAATGACATTAGATGGTTTTTATAACTAATAGAAAAAAAATTAAGTTTGGAGTATTAATCCTTAATGTAAGACGATTCTAACCTTAAAAGTTTAAACTTTGTGCCTACACAATGAAGGGTGAATTTTTATTAGCCATTACAAAAATGATAGGTTTCAACAGAAAAGAAATATGAGAATTAATACTATGAATTATTATTAGGGGGTGAGGAAATTGGGAGAAAACTTGAAGCCTTGGTAGGTTGTAGATAATTGGTTATTATCAAATGTTTTTTAGGATTGAATTGCTAGATTGCAGCAATGAAAAAATTTACATGAAATTTCTTAAATGAAATTTATAAAGTTTTTAAAAATAATTTAATAAAAAATATAAATTAATAAATTGATAAAATTTAATGTGAAAATCAATAATTTGTAAAAAAATAAAAAATTTGATTTATAATTAAAATTTAATTAATACTTATTCAATAATAAAAATTCTATCAATATTTTTCTTAAAAATATTTATAAAAAATTATTTAATTTTTTTAAAATTTTACATACTTAATCTATACAATAAAATTTTTAACCTATCAATTTTAATTTTTATTTAATTATTTTTAATTAAAAATTTTACAAAATTCATCTTAAAAAATTTTATCCAAATCTTTGTCCGTTGCAACGTGGGAATTGCTGTCTTGTTGCTGGGATGGCTTCTCAAACTTCCTAAATGACATCGTGCGTAGTGAGCGGAGAAGATGTCTGACTTCTCAAGGAAAAGGCCCACCCCACTCGTTAGTAAAAACTCTACTCTCATCAGAGTTAAGAAGCACCCCATGATGACATCTGGGCTGCCATTTCCGAGTTTCTTATGGCTATCTTTGTCTTTCTAATTTTTATTTGAGTGTCTAAATTTAAATTTTAATAATTAAAATTAAATTTTTAATATTTTATTAACAGATTTTACGACTATGGCATGGTATCCTTGTACCTATAGTAAGATACTCTCTTTTTGCTTGTACAGTTTGAATAGATGCCAATGGAATAAAGAATAAAGAAAAAAACTTTCGTTATCCAAATATATATTTTAAAATTTTTTATTAATATTTATTTAAACATAACGTAAAAAAAAATCAAAAATTAAAATAAGTATTTGAATTTGAATCCTCAACCCATTCTCATGAAGGTGGAACAATTCAAATTTAGTTCATGATTTGGAGTTTGATTGCATTCTTTCTTAGACATCTTTAAATTCACCCAAAATATATGCTTTGTAAGATTTCAATTCAACTCAAAACAAACAAGTTTGAATTCGAAGTTTAACCTAAATAATTTATTTACTTTTTTTAGGAGATGAATTTTTGTAAAGTTAAAGTTCGATTTTCTGTATTTATAATTTTTATTTTTTATATTCAAATTTTTTTATGAAAGAAATATTTATAAAATCAGACCAAATTATTATAAATTTCAATATATTCATACAAATTGCATGTGAAAAAATTATTAATTAGATCATAACAAACATTTATTTTATTATTCATTTTTTTTTCTCTTTTCTTTGGGTTTGGTAAATTTGATAAAAGAAATAATAAGAATAGAAAATGAAGAGAGGAAGAAACAGGTTGGTTGAAAAGGCATGGAGCAGTAGTAAAAGAAGAGACACGGGGAGTATCGGTCTCTGCTTGGCCAAACTCGATCCCTAGCTATTCCTATTACTTGAACGACTTTTGATTTGCTAGCTTTTTATGGCTGGATGATATTTTAGGACCAACAAAAAGGACAAGAAGAACATACACAGCTTGAACATGAACATAGAAATAAAAACCAAAAGGAATTCGAGAAATTATCGTAATTGCCGGACATGAACATTTCAACCTGTTTTGATTTCCTCTGTGATACCTTAAAGTTCTAGTCAAAGTCTGATAAAGTGTTCAGGGGCAGACCCTTTTCAAATGAGCCCGAGCAAAAGTATGGAAGATATCTAATCAGACAAAAGGAATCAGTTTATACTACAATTATTCCCGTCTTCTAGCCGCCATCCAATACAATTAGCTTACTTTATATGTTAAAAGTAATTCCTTCTTTTTGCAAAACAATGGTTTAAAGTGGAATGCATGCAAAATGAAACAAGATGACCAAAAGCAACTCAAAAGAAGCATGTGTTTCTTTGGCATATTTGATTATTTCTAGATTCGATCCAACTTTTGAAGAATAAAATTAAGGTTGACAATGCAACCTAAAACCTTCGAATTCTAACTTGACTTTATAAGATTAATTTGTTTTTTAAAAATCAAAATCAAGTTGTAGATAAATATTTAATATCATATCAAAATCAAATATTAAATATATAAAATTAAATATAATTTAAGATGAATAAAAATCCATTGTGCCCCACCGGTTGCCATCTCTAAATAAAATAAAATTACAAAATTTAAAATGGTTCTTATATTAACAAAAAAGAAATACTACTGATTGCAATTCTTCATGTGGATTGGTGAAAACCAAAAAGCGACAAATGTTCTTTCAGCTGTGCAAAAAAGCTTAAGAAAGCTTCATCCCTCCTGCAATGGCCCATTCTCCAAGTTCGAAAACCAACTCAGAACTCCAAAGTCCCCATGGAGGCATGAACCGTAGATCTCGACTGCCAGCCCTCCTGCTCCTGCAGAGGACACAGCACAGTCCTTAACAAGTTTCCCATTGTCGCCACCTTGGATGCATTTCCCCCAATTCCTCACGTGAAACACTGCTTCCAAACATCTCAAATACCCCAACCTTCTCGAAGTTGTCTCACCAGTCACTTAAAAGGAAATACTATTAAAGAATAACACAAGATTCTAAAAAAAGAAATTATTTTTTCTCCCATTTACTTTGTTGAGGGTTTTATTTTTCTTATTTCAGAAGGAAAAGACAAAAGAGGCTGGCGGCCATAGGATTTGCTCTGGTGGGTTATGTTTCTGATGTTTATCTCTTTCTTTTCCATAAAGGGTTTAAGCTTCCTGGGCAGTGTCCGGAGAGCTAAGAGGGAAACAAGTGTCCTCTCCACCAGTATTCCATAGAAAATGAGCATAGTTTGCAGCGTAATAAGGGTTACTAGGATCTGCTGAAATTGCTTCCAAGAAAGTTTCCTCGGCTGCCCACAAATCATTCTTCACTCTCCATAAAAAGCTCGCGTATTTACTGTATGCTTCTGCATCTGCTGGTTCCACTTCTATTGCTTTCTTGAAGTACATTTCCGCTCTGTTTTCACATAACAAAGAAACAATCAAACAAAACCCTCACGGTCAAAACAGCTGTAATCTCCATCATCTGAAGTAAAGTTTAACACTTCAACTCACACACGTATGTAATTGGAAAATTCTTTTTGAAGTCAAAAGCTATATATTCAACAACCAGTTCATGTAGGTCTGAGGCTATAAGGCATGCGAGCGAGATATTTTCCTGTTATGCGCGTGAACAGTCACGTGCACAAAGGTGATACGTGATAGATGGGGGATATTTTCATATTTGCCATGGAAGGGAAAACTGTGAAGCTGCACCGCACATTCCCCTCTATCAGAGATTCAAGAAAAACCCATCCCAAGTAGGGGCAAAACGACAAGCTTGACAACATATTAAAAGGTTTATAAATTATTTCTGGGTAGTCATAAACAAAACACCAAGAAATAGATATTATTGCAATTCAGACTTCAGCTGAATCAGCTCAGTGCTCGAGTCGGTGTTGATTTTCAGCTTGAATCTAGGCACCCAGTTTGTTAAAAACTTAAAACAGCACTATGTTATAACAATGAAGTGAAAGCTAACTTAAAATAGAGCAAAAGAATATGGAAATAAAGGAAATTGAATGAAAAGATTGTGACGATTTTGTACCTGTCATAATCATAAGCAACAAGGTAGAGAAACTGAGCATAATTGGCAAGAAGGAGAGGGTTGTTAGGCTCTTGTGACAACCCTGTTTGGTAAAGAAGCTCTGTTCTGAAATAATCTTCATAATCAACATCCGACTCGATCTTCGCCGTCACAGGCGAAACAAATCTCTGAATTGTTTCATGAGCGAGTGTTTCATCTCTAAATAAAGCTTGCATTTTTGAAGCTTCATCAACAATTGAGTTCCAGAGACTGAGCTCTTCTTCTATAGTTTCTCGGCCTGATGTTGACTCTGTTTGGGCTTCCGCTGTTGTTCCTGGAGATGATAACTGGGTAACACCATCAGAAACAATGGTTCTGAATTGGTCTGCTCCATCAAACCATCCATCACCGTCTGTACCACTTGCAACCGGCCTTACTTTTCCACCACCGCCATTGTTTCCGCCAATCGAAGTAGTTTTTCCGCCCGATGAGGACACCGAAAACGACTTTATTGACGAAGAATCAAACTTTGGATGCTTCTGATCTTGAACTTCAGCCACAGAAACATAAGACCCCGCTGTCGGATTCGCTGCCGCTGCCAGAGCAGCGTTGTTTCCCATAGAATGAACCGAATAATTTGCTAACAAGATCATCACATAAACCATCAAAGTCGGTGTATGAGAAAAAACCTGTTGAAACAACCAAACGAACGAAGCATGCATCTCTTTTTGAACTCTAACAATAATCCCTTGTAAATCTTCATAAAACAATAGCTGCCGCATTTGCAAAGTGTAAATATGAAGCTCGCGGATTATAAAAACCATTGAAGAAAACGCCTCTTTAATTGAACAATAAGCCGATTCCCCTGCTTCTCGAAACCCTTCTTGCCATTGTAATTTCCTCTTTATAATTCGAACCGAAAGCGGAAGATCAACGCTGTTGGCTTTTCGCTCAATGCTTGACGGGTTTATTTCTTCGCCTCTCTCTACCCATGATGGTTGTTCGTTGAATTTCAAAGATTCTGTATCGGAATCGGACCTTTCAGAATCTAAAGAATTGCTGTTATTTTTGCTGTTGGTGTCATCATTGTCGTCTGGTAATTGGAATCTCAGAGCCAATTCTTCAATTTTTTTCGAAAATTCTTCATCCGAGAAGGCGTCTAAACTAGCGCTGAAAGCTTTTCTTAAAGTTCTGGATCTTGGTTTGAGAAACTCGAAAGATCGAGACCGTTGGATATTGATGGAGTGAGAACCGAACAGAGCCGACCGGTTCAGTCTTGGAACGGATTTCGAAACATGAACGTCATCGCAACGGCTGCGTTTTGGAAGGGAAGGTGAACAGATTGCTGAAGCTAAAGCTTGAGAGGAAGATGGAGGTTGAAGAAGAATTGGCTTTGACCATTGTAAACGCGCAGTAGCTGCTACTTTCACAACCATTTGTTAAAGCTCGACGGTGAAAATTAAGGCCTTTCGAAAGCGCTGCACAACAGAGCCTTAGAAAACTCTAAAAAGCTTGCCGGAAAATCTTTTCCTCTTTCAAATTGGAATCTCCCCACCCAAAGCTTTATCCTTTAAGATCCTGAAAAATAAAAAGCCATCTCTTTGAAATCACTCTCCCCTTAAAGTCAAAAAGAACAATAATAATTCCAGTAAATAATAAAAATAAAAAAAATTGAAAAAAAAAATAGAAAGATATAATTCTCAAAAAAGGGAGAAACTCAAATCTATAAAAGCACATTTCTACCAAGAAAATCGTATCTCGAAACTCGAAAACCGATTAAATTCGAGATTCCCAAGAAAAATATCAAACCATTTTTTCAAGGAACTATTGATGAAGAAACTTACTTCAGATTTTTTTTTTTTTTTCAGCTCGGACTGCGATGAAATTAACAAATAAAAAAATAATTTTCCTTTTTTTCTTCGCCACCCGAGTAAAAGCTCCGGTGTAGCGCGAAAGCGAAGCTTACTAGAAAAAAGAGAGAGAGAGTTTTAAGCGTTCCTTCTTATACAACGAGCTCTTTCGCTCTTCCAAAAATGTAATGAAAAAGAAAGGACGAATAAAATATATATATATATATATATATATATATTACATTTGTTTAAAAAACTATAAAATATATAACAGCCAAAGTCGGTTAAAACAGAGTGAAGAATTCAGCTCGTCTATAAACAGAAAAACAGAAAACAAAATGATTTCCACAGGGAGATCCGGTTACCTGTTGGTTAAGTTCAGGTTTGTTGAGATTTTTATTTTATTTTTTTTGGCTTTTTTTTTTTAATTTTCATTTTCAACGAAACGAACGAAAATGGATGTGATCTGGCCGTTTTAATTGCGCCACGTTTCCACACAATCACCGCCTTCTTCGAAATTTTGTTTTCTAATAGACATCGGAGAAACGATGATCATTGCACCGACCTTCCTCGTTGCTCTCTCTGACAGGTGTCCGTTTTTGTACCTTTTGATTTTGGGAAAATTAAATCGGGTTTATTTATTTCATAGCATTGTAATTTTATTTTCAAACTTTTAATTTATATTTCACAATTAATTTAACCGAAATTATTAAAAATGTTTATTTATTTTATTAATTATTTTTAAATTTCATTTTATTTAATTTTTAAATATGATTAAAATTTGAAATCGATATTTTTTTTCTTGAACTTTGAAACTATTTTTCATAATAATCAAATTTTAATTAACAAAAAATGAGCTTTTTTTTTTTTTTTTTTTACCAATTGAATTAATCTATGTCAGTATAAAATGTTTTTTTTTTAAAAAAAAACAGCTATAAGATGGATTAATGAATAAGCAAATCTACGAGTTTTTTACATAAATTAGAGGGCTTAGCGATTAAACATGTTTGAATATTGTTAAATCACCACCGTGAGGGCAAGAATTTCTCTAGCTTTTTAGGGAAAGTTATTAAGACCGAGGAGGCTTATCGGTTAACAGTCACTCGAAGAGTGTTGCTAAATGTTATTTTTTTAATTTTTTGTAAGTAAAATTATTTAATTATTTTTGAAAAATTTTGAAAATTTATAATTTTTTGAAAAATTTTGAAAAATCATATAATTTTTTGAAAATAAATTTATAAAAAGTTATAAACCTTTATGAAAATTTAATTTTTTGAAAATTTATTTTTAGAAAGATTTATAATATTTCCAAATTTTATTTTCAAAAAGTTATATAATTTTTTCAAAAATTTAATCCGAGAAAAGTTTTTGATTTTTTTTAAAAAAATTTTGAAAATTTATATGAAAGAAAAAATAATTAAATAATTTTACTTATAAAAAAATTAAAAAATTGAGATGTGAAAAAAATAAATAACTTTTAATATATTTTTGAAATGTCAATGATGATTTTAATTACTAAAAAATGTGAGAAGCATGTAATAAAATTTAGTCAATGAAGCAACTATATCTCACCATCAAGGAAGTTAAACGCATGTTTCCCAAAACAAGCTTGTTGCTTAGTTTGTTTCTTTGTAACAGTCATTTGCAAATTTGCATGCGTTTAACAACTTTTGAAATTAGCTTGAAAAGGGAATAATACCCAGCTCTATTTCTGAAATTTTCTTATTAAATTAAATAATAGTAAAAGTAAAATCCAAAACTTAAATCATTTTATTTATATAATCATTTTTAAAAAATAATATATAATACCTAAATTTAAAATTCAAATTTTATTACTTACAATTTAATTATTTTTCTTTAAACAGGTCACTTTATTTGTATAAATAAATAATAATAGCACTAAAAACTTATAGTTATTAATATTATTTCACATAGTATATGAAATTAAGAATTTAAAATTTAAAATTTAATTTGATTAATTTATATAATTATTTTTAAAAAATAATATTTATTAATTTTAAAATTTAAATTTTAAATATTCAAAATTTGTTTTTCTACTCTCATGTTGCAGCCACATAAGTATCCTAACTCTTGATAAATTTATCAGATTATAGTTGGAGTGATTGAATCATTAAGAGCAAAGACTTATGAAGTCTTAATTAGTTTTAAACTTGTTATTGTGGCAGAAATGGAAGATGAAAGAAAGGAAAGGGTGTTTTTGTAAATTGAAACATAAAATGACATGTGCTCAATTTGACTCAAAGTGCCAGTCAATTGAATTTTATATTCTATATATATAAGCCAATTATTAAATTAAAATTTTAATAATTTTAAATACGATATAATAATATAATTTATAATAAAAATATAAAAATAATATAATTTAAAATTTTATTAAAAATTAAAAATTATATTTATATTTTATATATATAATTGTAATAAGTACATTTTTATACAAAAAATATATAAATTATTAATATTTTATATAATATAAATATTTAAATTATCAAATTTATTAAATTATAATATCTTCGTTATTCATCAAAGAATAAACATATAACCTGTTATCTTTTATTTATTTATTTATTTATTCTCCTCATCTTTTTTATAAATTTATCCCCCTTTTATATTTTCATTCATTTATTAAAAAATTCATAAATTTTAATGTAAAAAAAGGACAAAAATTAGAAAATAAAATATCTATTTAGAGGAAGCCTAGTTGAGAAGGTGATGAGGAACGGACGGTCCAAAATGAAAAGCTCGGAAGAGAGTGTGAGAGCAATGTTACATCAGCAGAAATAGAGGCTAAGTGTTGAAGGTGACGACAGAATATAAGATCAGCGGTTGAAAGTTTAAATTGGAGATCTTATCAACGGTTTATATTGATTATTTTAAATGTATTTTTTATTTCTATAATTTTCTATCATATTCCTGTCCTTGTTTAGTACCATGTCGTATCAATTCTTACTTTTATTAATTTATAATATCTTTATTTGCCTTCAATTTTAGACCTTTTTTTTTTTTTAAGTTTTAAGTTATCCTTGATTTTTAATATATATACTAAAAAATCACGATCTTACCATTTTTCTTTCATTTCATTTAGGGTTTGGTAAATTTCAAACATTACCATTGACCAATTTAAAACAAAACTTGCAAATTTCGTAATTTCATTCTATGTTATTGCTATACAAATTGAAGTTATCAACTTGTTATATGATTTTAAATTCATTAATTCTTAACTTTTTGTGGTTTAATGAGTTTCGTTTAACTATTTGGTCAACCAAGTTGGCCTATGCAAAGAGGTAATTGTGTGCAAATTGTAGGTCATCCAAGCTGGTCTAGGACATTTAGTATTCATTTGGATGAATAGTAAAATTAATTTTGATAAGATTAAAAATAATAATAATAATTATTATAATTATAATTAAAAAAATTATTATAACTGCGATTAAATAAAATTTATAAAAAATTTTATACTAAATAGATATCATTAGATTTGACACCTAAATTCAATTGATACTATGATAAGTTCAGCTACACAGCATTGAAACCTCACTAAAAGGCATGGTTTTGTTGGTATTGTACAAACATTAAAAATCTAAAATTACTGCTTCTAATAAATACAAAAATTTCAAGAAAGACTCAAAAGCGTATAATGGTATCACTTTTCTTAAGGTTTTATTTACTTTCATTGTATTATTTATTTAATAGATATACTAAAGAGTTGTAGGTAATAAATCTTGAGGATATAATAAAGTCCAATGACTAATTATATTTTGCACTAATGAAATCAATTTACCAAGCATTCACTAGCGTATCACAAGATAACTGAACTTTTATAAAGTTTTTTATAATAAAATTTTTATAAAATAAATATTGACTTTGAAGAAAGAGGAATAGTTCTAATAATTGTTTCTGTGTATTTTTTTCAAAAAATCAGAAGAGTTTTATATAAACAGATAAATGTTTTTTTTTTTTTTATAGATTTAACTGTTTAATTTGAATAAACAAAAATTATTTATTTTTGAGTAGTTGAAACTATTTTTTTGAACAAATTTATCTGTTTATTTTATATAAATTTAACTATTTAATTTTATTTTTTTTACTTGTTTTGGATAAATTTTAATTAATTCCACAAGTTTAAGCTTTAAATAAAATAGAATTTTATAAGGTTTACTGCATTGCAAATGTCAAGTATCATTAATTAAATATTAATATATACTAATTTTTAATTAATGCAAGACCAACCAAATTTGAAAAATTAGGCCTACGGTCCTTTAACCACTTTAGTCAAATTATAGTGAATTTTTATTTTTTTAATTTAAATAAGTATTTTATCATTTTCTTTAAATTTATTTTTTATATTTTATTTTAAAAATCTTGACAAGACAACCATTCCACGCCATGAATCTGGTTGGTAACCCGCCTACTCCCATTCACACTGCTTGGCCCTCCACACCTCACCGTTATCTTTCACTCTCCAGACTTCAGATTTGTATTTTTTTCCTTTAAACCGCATAACTACTTTGTTTATTTGTTTTGTTTGCATTTACACGCTAACGGTATCAAATTCAGCGCTGCATCAAATCTATACAAGTTTAAGTGTCATTGGTCGAGATTTAAGCTTCGAATTTGCGTGACTTTGGGACTCGAGCATTCACACTTTCGACGTTTCAAATCAGCCTTCCTGTCACGGTTCACACCCTTGTGAGATATTATCCGCTCTGACCCCCTAACCTTATAATTTTATCCTACAAAAGGTGCTTCACAAGACAAAGATGGTGTGAACCCTTTTATACTCCAGTGACCCTCTTATTATGTTCGATGTGGGATTCAGAACTCTCCCTTAGGTCCGTGACATTCTCCTGCACCTAACTCGTGACGCCCTCGTCACGGAGGCTGACCACCCTACTTACCTCTTTCGAGGTGCTTGACGTGGATCGAACGGTATAGAGCTGACTCTGATATCACTTGTCACGAGTCGAG